ACGCGTGCGGGTTGTTGTTGTTGTCGGTTGAGCCGTTTTTTTTTGGCGTATTTTTCTGCTGTGCTGGACTGCTGCGAAAATACGAAAAAAAGCAGAAAACGAAAAACAGGGCTGGGGCTGGGACGTCAGAATGGGGAACACCGTCTGCACGGATGCCGTGCCCTTCTCTCTGGAAGACATTCTGCACTCATCGCAGCCGTCGCCGAGGCGCTGCGTGGCGCAGTTTCTGCCAGTTGGCGTCATTGACAAATTCACGCGGTACCAGCACAACTTCAAGGCGTTCGTCTTCCGCCAGGGCACAACGGGCGCTGCTGTGCGGCGGCTGGACCCTTCGCAGCTCCACGCACAACCGTTTGACCTCGCACAGGCGAAGATTAAGTTGGAGGAAACCGCGGCGTACGTGCTCGTGCACGTGCAGTGCCGCCCCGTCGCCACGATTGGCTCGGCTAGCCCCGACGCTCCCACCCCACGTGGCGGAGGGCGGCTGCATAGGGAGTTTGATGGGGATCTGCGCGGCAATGAGGAGGCCCCCGCATGGTCGCGGATACTTGCAGAAGTGTTTACCCCTCGAGGCCTGGCAACGGCGCTCGCGTCAAACATAGACAAGCCCTCACTTTTCCTGTCACCCTCTGTTGCTGTGGCAAATGCCGATGTTAGCCCAACCGCGGAGCGTCATCCCACCGCCGCGGCCTTGCGCCTGGGTGAGTTGGACTTTCGCTTTAGCGTCCACATACTTACTGGCAAAAAGGCGCATCAATTGGTGGCATCCGTCGCCTTGCTCCATGCCTTGCGTATTGAGCAGTCTCTTATGGAGAACGATGAGGCCGTGCGGGGGCTCTTTTTCAACTGCAGGCCCTCGCACTGGACGTCTGATGCGAAGCCGGTCTTCCCGGCATGTGTTCCTGTCGGGGAGCTGGTGAGCTACCGGTCCTTTTCGCGCCGGAATCCACCGATTATAGAGGAGTCGCACAGGAACGCCATTCTCCGCATTTTGCACAATATACGATGGAAGCCGTCGTTTCCGGCGATTCTGGCGACGCCGCCCACCGCACGCGGCAGTTTATCCCGCGGCAGCACCCCACGCGGGATGCTTGCCCCCGTCACCACCACCTCCGTCTACCAGCAGGCCTTCATGCAGTCGTTGGCAGGTGCCGCCCCTTCAGCCTCCCAGGCATCTTCCGCGTTGGAGGTACCCCGTTTACGGTTCGCGCCGGAGTCGGCGCGGCAGAGCGCGGCGGATTTGCCACTAGGTGCTCCTCGACGGCAGAGCAGTACGTTGGCGTCGTCGTGGACACAGCGCGAGGGCGCTTCGGCGGCGTCCAATGCGACCTCCGCACGCACACCGCAGGCCCCTGCGACCCCGCCGCTTTTGCCCTTCATTTCCAGTCTACGCCTAAGCGAGGCTCTGAACGGGCGGGGCACCGCTGAGGCGGACCCAGAGAATGACGAAATTCGCATGACAGAGGAACGAGTAAAGAAACTGAAGGCCGCGACACCAGAGGCCACTGAGATACTCCCATGGCTGTTTGTGGGTGGGGAAGAGGCCGCGGGGGATCGTGTCCAGCTTCTATCAAAGGGCATTACCAGTATTGTAAACACCGTCGCATTTTCTGTGGGAAACGCTCACACGGATGTTTTTCACTACCTCGGACTTTACCTGAGTGACGCCCCGGATGAACCCATTTTCTCACTTTTCCCGATTGTGATCCGCTTTGTGGAGGAGTCACGGGTAAAGGGAGGCAAGACGTTTATTCACTGCCACCAGGGCGTCTCTCGCTCCTGCTCCTTTGTCATTGCGTACATCATGTGGAATCAGGGCCTCTGCTACGACAGGGCATTTGAGTTTGTGCGTGCGCGACGCAACGTGTGCAGCCCGAACACGGGCTTTTATGTGAATTTGCTGCTGTGGGAGAATCAGCTGGCAACCCCAGTCTTCAACAAGGCCTACGCATACGTCCCCTACACTGAATACATGTTCCCCTTCTCCTTTCGCCTGGCCCTCGCGTTTCGTGCGCACGAGAACGCGCACAGCGACGACGACTCACAAGTCGTGAATTCTTTTGTGCGTGTGGTCCACCACACCGACAAAAGCTACGCGGTCGATCCACGGCTGAGTTACGGCATTTTGTTTGGGGGCCGTGACTCACAAAGTGGGGCCCCTGCGACGCTCATCTACTCCTACTTCTTCGCAGGCTCGGACTGCGACGCCATAGTGCGGCAAGAAGCCAAGGAGGACTGGGAAGCATTCATCCGATACAACTTCTACCATGGGCAGAGGAGGCGAAGCACGAACAACAAGGGCGAGGTTGTCGCGTACGCGCCAATACCAGCGCTTGGGCAGCCAACGAGGTGTTTGGCGGGCATTCAGGATCTGGAGGACGTCGTTAACGAACACATGTTCAGCCGACGACGCAGGGCGTCCGATGGGGCACGAGGTCCAAAGCCAGTACTGGCGCAGCTGGAGTGCTGGGACAAGCTGCTTGCTCACGAGGACATGATCGTTCGCCTCTCCAACTTCCTTGCGGAGGAGCAGCGTGTGAAATTAGCATCTCTGAGCCGTAAACGCATGCGCGAGGAGGAACGACGAGGTCTGGCTAAAGTCTCGCCGCCTGGTAGCACGCCGCGGATCTCGTCGTACAGAAGCGCTGGCGCTAGGGGCAACACCGTGCCAAACCCTGCTGCACCTGCACCTGCACTTGTCGCTGCGGCCGCCGCGGTGGATTCGGCGTCGTCGGTGTCTCCGTTGTCCACAGCGCCGTTAGCAAAATCCACAACTACGAAGTCGGCGGCCGCAGGCGCGAAGGTTGCCGTGCCGCATATAAAGACATCCTCAGCACCGCCCACGGCAGGTTCCAAGCCGTTGGGCGGTGAGGTGGAGATTTACGCCTACCCGTTTACTGGTTCTCCGCTGACGAACATATTAGACATTGCCGACATGGAACCGGATGGCTGCTACGTGGTTCTTGTCCCCGCCGCGGCGTCGGGGCGCCACCGCGTGTTTTTGTGGTTCGGCTGCAACTCCAGCGTTACTGAGCCGGAGGCCTGGCAGGCGTACTGGCGATCACTGAAGGTCGACAAGGACGTTCGCCTGTGGAACGAGACGGTGCTGGAGAGCCCGTTGGAGGAGGTGGCCCGCGATGGCGAGGAGCCCGACGAACTCATCCTGGCGCTTGAATAAGGCGAGCGGGCGTATAAACTGGCCATCGCACAAGCCTGCATATGCATAATTATATATATATATATACATTTGAGGTATGACGGCTTGGGTTATAATGTGATAGAGCGACGTAAAAGGAGATAAAGAGGCAGGGATCGACATTACACTCCCCCCCACACGCAAACACACGATTCGCACAGGGCGAGGATTAGGAAAGGATCATTGCACCTTCTTGCTTGGAGCCGAGAAGCATCATGTGTACTTGTGCACGCTCAGCGGTGAGTGTGTTGGCGGCAACACTTCAGTGTGAGAGGGGATGCACACGTGAATGTGCATTCAGTTGGGTAGCAGGAGCGGCATGGGCGATGGGAGACGAGCTGACGGTCGTCGGAACTTGACCGGGAGGAGGTGGTGTCGGTGTTGGTGTGCGAGCGTGTGTATGTGTGCATGTGTGGGTGTGTGAAAGTGGAGGAGGGTGACGGGGAGAAGGCGAAATCTCTACAAGAGAAGGGGCGAAGTGTTTTTTGTTTTGTGTTCCTCTGTACGTGTGGTTTCTTCTTTGGCGATGACTGTGCGGTGGGGAAAGTGGCACGGAGTGGTGTGCACTCATTTGATTTCTGGCGCGTATTCTGCCGTGTGTACGTGCGTATGTAGTGCCTTGCGCGTAGGAGCGCGGTAAGGCGGTGTATTTGCGTGCCTGCATGCGTCTACACCCGACTTGGGCCCACGCACCTCTATCCTTATTTCTTTCTCGCTCTCTGCCTGCCTTCTCTTGAGGAGGATCTTACTGTGAGGGGTGAGTGAGCGTTGTTTGTTTGCTGTTGTTGTTTGCTTGTTTGTTTGCTAGTTTTTGTTTTTGTTTTGGCAGGGCGACCTCCATGCCGGCCGGTGCCCCCGTCACGCTGTGTGCACCAACTGCCGCACCTCGGCTCGTTTTCTCTATGCTTTACCCTCCTCCTCCTCCTCCTCCTCCGTCACACCCGCGTCTTGCGTTTGGGTGCACGAAGCTCTACAGGAGGCGGGCAGAGAAAATCGCGGCCAAAGCACACACACACACACACACACAATTCCAACAGGGAACCGAGTGGACGGCGGAGCGAGACCTCGGACATCGGCCGCGGTATGCTGCGTCGAAGCCCACTCCTCCTGCGGCGCCGCGGCGCCGGCATCATCGGCCTCCCAAATGTTGGGAAGTCGACGCTCTTTAACGCCCTCACTTGCAGTCAACAGGCGAAAACGGGCAATTTTCCCTTCTGCACCATCGACGCAAACCCTTCAAAGGTGCCGGTCGTGGACGATCGACTCCGCAGGCTGGCCGCCTTCACCGGGGCGCAGAAGATCGTTGACGTGGAGATTGACCTCGCGGACGTCGCGGGCCTGATTGCAGGCGCCTCCAAAGGGGCCGGCCTCGGCAACAAGTTTCTTGCCGACATTCGCCCATGCACAATCCTGCTGCACATGGTGCGCTGCTTTGAGAGCGCCAAGGACGGCTTCGACACCCCAACACCGCTGGAGGACATAGTCACCATCGTGAATGAGCTGGTGCTCGCCGACCTGGAGGCGATGGAGAAGTCGCTGCATAAATCCAGTAAAACGCGGAAGGCGGGGGATGCGGCGCTGGTATTCTGCCAAAGTGTTGTGTCTTGGCTGCAGGACGGAAAGCCTGTCTCAGAAATGCGGCTCAAGACGGAGGAGGAGCGGCAGTGGCTGCAGCAGTATCAGCTGCTCTCTGCGAAGCCGATGCTGTTCGTGCTAAACATGGACGAGGCGAGCGTCGTGGCGGGAAACAGATTTGCTGCAGCAGTCGAAGAAAAATTTGGTCCGGAGCGAACGTGTCGGGTGTCCGCCTCTTTAGAAGAACAAACCTCGCAGCTGGACTCGCGGGAGGAGCGACTTATGTTTTTGCAAGAGTATGGCGTGGATTTGCCGCGGGGGGAGGTGCTGCTGCGTCATGCCTACCGCCTGCTGCGGCTGCAGTCCTTCTTTACGGTGGGCCCGCTCATGGCGCACGGCTGGACCACCAAAGCGGGCGCAACGGCAAAGGAGGCGAGCGGGGAGATCCACTCGGACATGGAAAAGTACTTTCGGCGCGCCAAAGTGATGCCGTACGAAGAATTCTTGTCCAAGCCGAACCTTGCGGCGGCGGAGATGCAGATGACGTTTGTGGACGCCAACCATGTCATGCGAGACGGCGATGTCATGATTGTTGAGCACAATGCCCCATCTTAGCGGCCCTGCGGAGCACACACACACACACACATACATATATATATATATATATACATGTATGCTGCGACATTGCGAGATCACGGTGGGGCCAGACGGGGGCGAAGGGTGCTGCTGTGGCGACTGCGTGTTGTCGAGCGAGGGGAAGGCGACAGACTGTTGCTGTTTCTTTATTCTTTTGCCTGTCGCGAATAAACTCACATGGGAGAGTAGTGTGCCCGCCCCCCCTGCGTTTTTGCGACGCGTTCACATTATTTCATAATCCATCAGGAACCCGTCTGGCGGCACATTTGCAGCCAAGTGGGTGGGTGGGTGGGTGGGGGGAAGGCAAAACGGCGGAGTGAGACGGTGGGCGCTGCACGCCCGCGGCCAACGAAGCCGAAACGCCCATGCACGTGACGAAGGATAAGTTGCATGTTTCTCCTTCCCGTCCTTTCCCTCTCTTCCTCGCCTGCACACGCACATGCCCGCTGGGGCGGGCCAAGGGCCGCTAGGAGAAGTAAGTCGTTTTGCTCAGTGAGTGAATTATTACAGAGAACAACAACACCCACGGACGGAAAGAAGAGAAGGGAGCCACGGCACTGCCGCCACACAAACAAAGAGAGAAAGAGAAAGAGCGAGAGGAGGTAACAGTTAAATCGAAATTTGCTGAATTCGCAGGCTGCGAGCCCCCGAGGCAAGAGGAGTAGAAGCAGGGGTATAGCCTGGAAAGGAAAGGGCAACCGCGGGAAGAAGAAGGAGGACTCCCCACGCGACACGGCTGGGAGAAACACACAAGGGACGCGACAGAAAAGTGTGCCAAGGGGTTTGGGGAGGATAGTTTGTCGATGTTTAACGCCAACGATGCACGCCGCTACCCGGGCTTCTTCACCAGGACGTGGACCCCGCCACCCGATGGATTTTCTTTCACTAATGCAAGAAGTCGGCGTTCACGTGGCGCCCTTTCCCACGCAACACCCCCGCCACTGACGCCGCGTCTTGCCTCCCCAATCGACGTGAGAGGACTCTCCGCGACAGACCCCTTGGGACGCCTGGAACACTCACGCGCGTCACCGACAGAGGTGCAGGCTAGTCGCGCGCTTGTGGGTATGTCGCGCGATGAACCGGACATCTCACCACACATCAGCACCCTAGACGTGAGTGGCTTGGGCGCGTTCACGGCAGCGCATCCTAGCCGTCGTGGTTGGGAGGATATGCCGCAAGAGGAGCGCATGGCTTACACCACACGTCTTGAGGAGGACGTGGGCCACGCGCAGGCCACACTGGACCGCGCCTACCATCTGCGGGATCACTACAAGGAGGAGGCGGCGCGACTCCAAAGAGAGTTGCTGCAGAATCGGCGGGCGCTTGACCGTCTGGAGCGTGACCACCGCCAGTGCAAAGAAATTATCTACCGCCATCAGCGCGGGGAAGTTGACCTTCGCCAGCGACTCGATCACGCCGAGGGAGAGGTGCATCGGCTTAAGACGTTGCTGCAGTCTGAGGAGGAAGTTGGGGGGGCGTCTGTGGTGCAGGCAGAACGGCATCTACGGCTCAAGCAGTCAGAGGTTGATGCGCTTCTGGAAGAGAAGAGGCAATTAGAGGAGCAGGTGCGTGTCTTGATGCTGGAGCTCTCCAACGAGCATCACTCAGCCAGCGTACGCGAAGGCGCAGTCACAAAGCCGACGTCTAATTTGCATGGGGAGGACGGAGAGGAGGAGCTGTCGCAGACGCGACAGATTATACAGGTCCTTCGCACCGAGTTGCAGGACTTGAGGCAGCAGCTTCAGAACGAGCGCTCCCAGCACGAAGGCGCGCTTGATGAGATCATCAAACAACGCAATGGTCTCCAGGGGGTAAACACCTCGCTTCGTGACGAGATCGAAGGGCTAAAGGAGAGGTGTTGCTTGCAGAATAAGACCCTTGATGAGCTTCGTGAGGAGCTGCTGCAGCGGGCGCCTCTGACACACACCGAGCATCACGCCCTCGTTCAACGGTGTGAGGAGTTAAAGGGGGAAATTGAGCGACTCCAAGCGAGAGAGTCTGACTCCCGCGACAAGGCTCTTGAGCTCGAAAAGCTGGCAATACAACAGCAGCTTTTCGCCCTACGGGCCGATGGGGAAGAGAAGAATTCCATGCTACACAAGACACGTGCCGACTTGGCGCACACGCGAGATCATGTCAGTACCTTGCAGGATGAGCTCGAACTTACCCGAAAGGCCAAGACACTGCTTGACCAGGAGCTCCTTGACACAATGGAAAAGCTGCACTCCGCCAAGGAGGAAAATAAAGAGGCCGAAAAAGTCATAAAAGACTTTAATCGAAGGCTTCAGGACCAGTTCTCACGAATTCATGAGCTACAGGCGCACTTAGACCTCCTACAACGCCAAAAAGCGGGTAGTTCAGCGAATACCATACCATCCAGGCCAGTCCCACTCACTAGTGAGGGTGCCAAAGAACCTCTAGGACAAGGAAACGCATTCAAGACTTCCAACAAAGAATCATGTTCAGCAGAGGCAACTATTAAAATGCGAAATAACCAGACACAAGACATACCAGAACCTCCAGGGATGCCACAAGAGGAAGACGCAACAACACAAGACGACGACAAGACAGCAGCAAATCAACCAGCGGATGAAATGATAAATATCCTACAACAGCTTTCGGTAGCACGGGCAACGGTTGAGCAGCTGTCGGCGGAGCGCGGCAGCCAGGCGGCACGATTGGCCGAGCTGACGGCGGCCGTTGCCCGCCTGGAGAGCAGCGCCGACGCCTCGAGACCGGTGGTGGACGCGCTGACCGCGGAGCTGCGCGAGACGCAGGGCCGTCTCCGCCAGGCGGAGGAGGAGGCCAGCCAGCTGGCCGAGCGGCTCAGGGTGTCCGAGGAGCGTCGCGAGTCTGCCGTGGCGGCCGGTTCCGCCAACGCCGCGCTTGCAACGCAGTTGTCGACTCCGCTGACGGCGCTGGAGCGCCTCGCGGAGGAGCGCGAGACCCTGGCTGGGCGCTCGTCCGAGCTTGAGGAGCGCGTTAAGGAGCTCGAGAGGGAGCTGCGGGAGGC